CCATTCTCAACACTTTATAGTGTTAGCATCAATGATCCCGAAGGACCAGAAAATATAACAACACTGAAGTGAAGTACGGGGCAACTTTTTACGGCTGCCACACGGCACTTGGCACCTGCTGTTGTGAAGTACAAAATTCTGGAAACAAAGTGATCCCTCGGAAGCATTAATCACAACAAAATAACATAAGAATTGCAGACTCGGTTTGATTGAGTCTGTACATGAGGGATAATGAATAAGTGCAACATCCCCCACACCCCCATAAAAACAGGACGGCCTAGACATGCCTTTTGGAAGGGTAATGAAACACAGTCCATAGATATAGAATGCTGTGGCCAAGGACATCCTAAGTGGCACGTGGTGAGAATGAAAATAAACGTCGGGTTTCATTTTTCACGATTATGAGTTAATGTAAATTTTGTGTCAAATTGACAGTTATTCAATTGAAAACCAATGTGAAGGGATTAAATGTAGTTATTTCATCAAATGTATGTCAAAATCAAAGGCTTTAAACCAAACATTTCTACAAAATAATCAAATAGAGAAAAAAAAACCTTAAAGAAAGCCCAACACAGCATAAAAGAAAATGTTGCAGGCTTGGTTTGATTGAGCCTGTTCATGGACGGTACTGGAAAATGCAAGTAACCGTCCACACCCCTACCACCGGCTTAAGCAGAATTCAACATTTAAACACGAAAATGGTGTAATTTTGAATTTAAAAACACCTGCAGTTGTGTTCATACGGCGGTTATCATGGCACCTTCAATGTGATACAGTTGTACGATTCCATGAAAAGTGGCGTATTGTCCAAAAATAAAAAAATGATTAGAAAAATATGTACAATACCCTAATATGTTATGATTAATAAAGTTGATTCAGTAAAATTAACAGTTTTGTAATTTGTAACAGGTATGATGGCCATTTTGAAGTTCTTCCGCCATATTGGATTTTAGAAAAATGGGCCCATGCTCTTTTTTTCATATACAGCCCATTTTTTAAGTTTTTCATGTTTTTTTAGCGCTTTAACCATTTTCCGACACAAATGACTGGACTGCAATTTCCTTCCTCTATTGTCCACTTTTTCCGTTTTGAAGATAAAATGTTACGTTAAATACTTGGTCAAGATGAAAATTTTTGGCGTGAGCCGCATAAGCATACCTTAGGCCTGTAAAATAATGTTTTGATATATATAAAGTATGTACATTTTCTTAAAATAATGTTTCTTATTTTACATCAATTGAAGGAGATACACTTGTCCAAAATCATTTTTGGCTATGACGTTATATTTTTTGTTCTACAGCCATCGTTGTTGGACAGCCTTGGTATAAAAATCTGGAAACAAAGTGATCCCTCGGAAGCATTAATCACAACAAAATCACAAGAGAATTGCAGACTAGGTTTGACATGGACAAAGCTTGGACATGAATTTTAATCAGTCCGACTTAAAATCTGTAAAGAAATGTATAGACTTTAGTCTAAAATCTCATAGTATATACAATATTTTGTTGATGATAACCACGAATTTCATTTCATAACATTTTTGTCAAAAATCTTTTAACCCACAACAGTGCTTGTGTCATTTCATTTGCCACAAATGCCTGTCAAGCCTTCTTATTCTTGCAGTCTGATTAGGCTCTATACAGTTGGCTGACCAACTTTCACTTTTTCATTTGATATCCCAAAACAAATTCAAATGGTAAGTTCGAAAATGGAAGATAGTCAAGTCCCTTTAAAGAATTCAACAGATGATAGGTAAATAGTGCAATTGCCATGTAAGCTATGCTTTGCAGTTTCCTTACTTATAGGGTTGAATTAAAAGAAGCATGAGTTGCGGATTTTTTACACGAAAAAAGCAAACAAGTTTGATGATTTAATTCACAGGCCCCAGTAGCTGTTAATATAAGCTACTGTACTATTAAGCACTGTGTCATGCAAAAGCTGTCAAAAGCTGTTAAATCTGGCATTGGAAATTAATCAAAACAAAATTACATGAAAATTGCAGTCTCTGTTTGATTGAGTCTTTACATGAGGGATAATGAATAAATGCAACATCTCTCACGCCCCCTACCACTGGCTTGAGTCAATAGTACTCATTTCTTAACACTTAATAGTGCTGGCATCAATGATACCGAAGTGCGTTAAGCTTTAAACAACTGCAACAGTAAATTATATTCATTTACATGTATTGTTAACAACTTATATATCACAAAATTTGTAAAAAAAATAAGACACATTCAAACTTTTTTTGAATCGTGTAAAGCAACACATATACACGCTTTATCCCATATTTATGTGTTTTCATACGTATGCGACAAGTTCAGATCCATATCAGCATACACATCCGTACAGTATGTTCGTTTTTATATTCATAAAATATTTTTTGTTTTCTGTTAAAAGTGAGCAGTGGAGATCCTGATCAGTCTGCACGGATGTGCTTGATAATTTTTAGCTTTTAGTTGTCTGAATCAGCAATTATAAGGATTCCATTATCCTCATACACAACAATCTTGGACATCATCGTCTTCCGTTATGCTGAATCTCCTTACTTAACGAGATGATTTTGGCTCAGGTAGATTACTTTTTATCATTTTCCAAAATTGTTTTAAGAATTTTATTTTCTGCTTCTATCTGAGTGGTCACCCTGGTTTCAGACTCGCATCTGTTATACAATCTGGAGTTCTTAAAATTACTTGTTCATACTCAGAATGTGTAAAAAATAAGCTTTTAATAAGAAGAGAGATCACTTATGGTGAAGGAAAAAATGGCATGTTTGTGAATGAGGAATCTTTAATTTTGTAGGTTCAACATAGTTTCATGATGATTGTTAAAGATCCTGTAACACAATTATTTCATGGTTTTATTTCATAAATATGATGCTCAAATTAAGATTTGTCAATATTGTAAGTTCCAATAAGCATTATTTATAAAGATTTTACCCAATTTAACATTTCATGTAAATAAAGGGAGGTAATAAGAAATTTATTTTCTATAAATTCTAAGTCAAATTTTCCAATAAGAAATGATAAATATAATGTGCACATATATTTGCATATGGTATACACACAGTAACAATATCAATCACAAAACAGGATCTTTAACTTCTCTAGTTCTTTTACATTCATTGTAACAGATCAGGTATGGTAGATAAAGGGAAAGAGCTCTTGCTTACTCCTATTACTTTGTGTTTGTCTTGCATTAAATCTTCTCCCCTTTGTCTGACCCAAGGCTTACCATTCTCATCAAATTAATACTTTTACCCTTCTTTGTCAAAAAGATAACTGCTCCCTTTCTGATCCATATATATTTTCATCTTAATGTAAATAGTATGGTTCTCTTTTCCATCCAGGTAAAAAGTCTGTTTTCATTTAGATATTTTGGTTGGTCATTTTTATCTATGTAGAATTGTGCACCATTATCATCAAAGTGAAACAGTAAATCAGAATCTTCCATACAAAACTGCTGTTGTTATAAGAACACTGGTTCCCCTTATCATCGTGTTGTAAAGGATTTTTAAATTAATCAAACTTTTATTCCTGCTGCCGCAGACTTTGACGTCTCCTTTCTCTTCTATCATGTTTCTTTTGATTCTTTAGAGCCGCTCTTTCATCTGCCGCTTTAGCAGATACAGCACATCCCATAATAATAATTAACTAGTTGCCTTAATGAATTAATGAATAGAATAAACCTTAAAAAACCTTAATGCCTTTAAATTTTGCGGCATTAAAATTAGTCAGTCAAGTTCTTTAAAACATATAAAGCAGTAAAATATATTCTTTGATGTCATGAGCTGTTAGGACTTTAAATTAATTCTTCACCATCTACTACCATTTTTTTAAAATATCCTACAAATGAAATTAAGAGAATAATCTCTAACCTTAACATGTATTATCTTGACAAAACCGTTCAGGATTTTAGGCAAATTATTTAAATATGTACTGATAAAAGTGCATACCATGATAGGACAGTACGTATGTGCTGGCTTATCTTGGTCTGCACTGGCCAGATGGGTAAAATCCGTTGCCACTAGCTAGAGAACGGTATGAAACCTTAAGTTTATTGTTGACCTAATGTACAAATGTAATATAAAAAGTATAACGTGTAATGTGATAGTGACAATACACAAAAGCGGGTATATTAATTGTTAAAGATAATATGCCTCTTTCAGAACAGTTGCGCTTGTCTTTAGGCAATAATAACAAGTAACTGTTTTCAAGTCAAACTTTTCAGAATTTCATTTTTGTAAATGCAAATGTATCAACCTTTAGATTCTGTTTATCAGACAAAAAGAATTTGAAACTTCTTAAAACAGATCTTCTTTAACCGCTGAATTGTTGCTGTCTGAAAGAAATCTATTTGATAAAGACTAGGTTGTCATGGAAATAAGAGAGGAAGTTGTAATATCTCTTATTGTGATTTTTGAATACTTTAATGTTTAAGTGCTAAAAACTGTATTTCTTAAAGAAACAAAAAAATTGATTTATTAAAATCTATGAAAATTTTACTTTGACTACAATGATGAATAAACTATATATGGGAAGGTGAATTCCCTATTACAGGCCACTTAAAGTTAGTATTTTCTTTAAAAAAGTCTTCCAGTTTTTTAACGCGCATATGTTGAAAATGAATTAATTGCATTTTATGTGCAGAGGAATGACTGGTTATGAGCAGCTAATAGATATTAAACTGTTGCCTCAAGTTCCAATATATCAAGATTCTTATTTTCAATGAAGCAACAATCAGCTTATCTTGTTAATTTTCAGAATAAGTTGACATGTTTACATCATTTTAAATATGTATGATTAAATTAAGAGGATATTTCCACTATTATAGATACAAGGTTTATAAATTATCCATTGCCCATGTTAGGTGTTTCAGTCTTTAGAATTCAGAATACATCATAAAGATTCATAGAATTATTTTGTCAAATTATGTAATTTATTTATATAATTAATCATATGTAATAGTAAAATGACCATATTGTAAGATAATAAGTTAGCTACCGGCTCCTTTGTTATAAGCGGTGCAGAAAATCACTTACCGACCGCTTAACAAGTTGCCAACATACCGACCTGTTATTGTTCTTTTGGTACCGGCTCGCCACGGCATTACTTTAGGGTTTTACTGAGGAAACAATAGAAAAGAACTTAACTTTTAAATCTCTAAAATCCATCTTAATTTTAGCCCAAGCTTGATTTCCAGCTTTTTATATGATTCACTTGTCGAAGATGGACGCAAACATTTATTATGCCAATCAAATTTAATCTTACATAGCGTTTAAAAACCTTTCAATCTTAACAAATCTGCTGTTTTTAAATAAAACTATATGTGCATATGTTGTGTAGAATTTTAAATATAAGATATATCTACTTTGTGTGTAGTCAAAACGTGTTTTCAATATTTTCTAATTTCAAATTTGAGCATAGTACATCTTTAATGCCTTATGAAAGATATAATTCATCCTATCGAATTTCCGTTAAGCAATTACAGGTTTTTCATGCAGTCTGACCAGACCGTATCCTGCTGTAAACAGGTCAATAAAGAAACACTAATCTTTGTAATAATTTTATCAAATACATACCCAAAAGCGGGTATCAGTCATGTATATATAGTATTGTACTGTAAAACGTATTGTTTGGCAATATTGACCTTAGACTCATCAATTTCTGAAGCTTTATTTTATTTTTTACGATTTACTTATTGATTATTAATGACATGAATATTATCAATACTTTATTTTTATACTAAAGTCCCTATGGCCAAGTGGTAAGTATGAGAGCAAAGTAATCGAGAAGTTGTAAGGTCACATCCTCAACAAACTGTTTTTTTTTTCAGATTTCTTAATTTCTTTTTTTTAAATTGTATGCAGCATTAGTGGATGAATCATTTCTTTAATTTCTTGTGTCTTTTGTAGAACAAAAAAAACAACTTTAATATATAGATATATATGTAAATTTCATAATTTCAATTTGTAAAGTCGTACAATGGGTGATTGCCATGCACAAAAACTAAGTAACTAAATATGAAATATATATAACAAAAAAAAAATAAATAAAAAAAAGATAAAATTAGATTCCAACATACAATGTCTAATTTGAAACTAAAAATTCTTAACTCCTTATCACTGAGGCTTGTTAGGCAACTTATTGTGTCGGTAACTTTTAGTTATATACATAGACCACGTATACCGTCATGCCATACTTTAAAATCCGTATGATTACCGACGATTACCAACCAAATGTGATTGAATATTCAAATGTCTCGGGTCAATATTGCCAAACAATAACTTTAAATTGGGCTGTTGAAATGATCAAAATTAAAGCAGTAACAGATTTCAAGAAAGTTTAAAATTAATCAGGCAAGATCATTTTAATAAAGTGAATTCATAAAGTAACTTAAAGGAGCTCCAAGGATGTCTAAAAGACCTTAAATACATAAAATTTTAAAATATATCAGAGATCAATCAGGACAAACAAATAAAAACAGAGCAATATGATAATAATGACAAAGAAATATACTCATATCTATTTCTAGTGCAATACATAGCCTGGTTTGAGTTTGACATTATTAAGACTTATTAAAATGATTATTTTGAAGAAAGGGAATAAGCAAAACGATTAAAAATTGTACACAAATGTAACTAGTAAAAGTCTACATTACATGGTACAAATATCTCGAAAAACTTTTATTAGTCCCCTACCGGTTTACCGGAGGGGACTTTAGGTTTACCCTCCGTCCGTCTGTCTGTCTGTCCGTCAGTCCGTCCGTCTGTCCGTCCGTCAGTCCGTCCGTCCACAAAACTGGATCCCGCGATAACGCAAAAAGAACTAAAAATATTTTAGTGAAACTTGATATATGGATAGATGGCAGTATGGGGAATATGCACGTCTTTTTCTTTTCTTCCTATGTTGAAAATTCTGGTTGCTATGGCAACAAATAGACTGAAAATATGGCAAATTTTACACATAACCTGGATCCCGTGATAACGCAAAAAGTACTGAAAATATTTTTATGAAACTTGATATATTGATAGATGGCAGTATGGAGATTATGCACGTCTTTTTCTTTTCTTCCTATGTTGAAAATTCTGGTTGCTATGGCAACAAATAGACTGAAAATATGGCAAATTTTACACATAACCTGGATCCAGTGATAACCCAAAAAGTACTGAAAATATTTTTATGAAACTTGACATATGGGTAGATGGCAGTATGGAAATTATGCACATCCTTTTCTTATCTTCCTATGTTGAAAATTCTGGTTGCTATGGCAACAAATAGACTGAATTTCAAGATTCTAGTTTTTAAGTTTTTTCACTATAAATACTTTTATTTCTTAAGGTATTTTCATCAAACTTTAAATATAAGTTGCTTGTCATCAACCATATCATATGTGACAAGGTTTACAACTCTAGCACAAAATTTATCAGAATTACCTCCCTTGAACATAAAATTTTTATGAAAAAAAAACATTGTTTTTTTTAATAACTTCTTTTTCTGAATGTATCTACTTCAAACTTCATATAAATGTTTCTTATTATCACTCATCATGTGAGTGTTCAATACTCTAGCAAGATTATATCCAGAAGTATGCCCCTTTTCAACTTGGACTTTTTTTGAGAAATTGGTAATTTTTACTCCAACTTCTTCAATCATGATAGGATTTTAAAAATGTTATATTTTGATAACAGTGATGATTAAAAAATAACTTTAGAGTGTCCTTCAGTCCGTCTGTCTGTCTGTACATAAAAACTGTTTCCTGTGATCACTTTTAAAGAACTTTTTCAACAAATTTATTTAAATAGGAACATAAGTGAATGGCCAATGGCCCTTCAGAATGTTGCTTGGGCTCTTACCGGTAGGGGACTTATGGATTGCTTGCAATACTATGATAATTGCTTGTTTATCTCATTTTACTACTGGTCTTTAATATCTTCCTTGCACTTTTATCTCATAAATCTTTCGCACTTTTCTGGTTAATGGTGTGTACGAGATACTTCACTTGATTTAAATTGAAATGAAATACTCCTAAGCTGATGAAATTAGAACTATATAAATAAATTAGATAAAGTCACTTTGTTAAACCGTATTGCTATGTTAATGCTTACAAATCAACAAACTAGTAATCTTCATCAGTGTTATGTACCAACAGAATTAAACTTAACATAATTCGCAGTTTTTTTTAAATCAATCACTTAACATTCAGTTTCACTAACATACACTATATATATTGAACTTATTCTAAATTGTTTGTATGGGATAGGGCATAAAATGGGCGCATGCATCAATGAAATACAAGTAGTATATTACATAGATGGAAAACTAATTCTATTTTTTTTAATCAAAGAAATGCATAACAACATTCAATAATGTTTCTTAGAATGAAAGCTATACCCCTATAATGCTCGTATCAGTATACCTGAGAAAGAAGATAAGTCGTTATCTACTCGATCTAATTCAGAGAATTTCATTCCACCAACTAACACACTTTCACCTTTTCGAACCAAGGCAACTGCACTAAATGATGTACTTTTGTATCTGAAGCTCTCTCTGGCAGCACAAACTCTCCGGAAACAATCGCTTTACTGCCAACCTTTATGTAGTACTCTATCTCTCCTGCATCTTTTTTGCCGCAAATATGTGCATTAAACTGATAAATTCCGTCAGTTGGCGCTGTGAACATTCCAGTATCTTTGTTGTAGGCATCGCCTTCGTTAAATATAACATTTGAGAATTTAACTGGTTCCCTATCCGTGAAGCTTATTGCATCCATGACATTAAATGCAACTGTCTCTGAAATATGTCAACATATATCTTTGAACTAAGATAATTTGCAGCCACAAAGATTTGGCGATTAAAAAGTGACGAGTCATGCATTTCAGAAATATCAAACACCCTACAAAAACTTCAACAAAACAAAAAATAAACTGATGAGTGTGTCAAAAAAATAAATGATTAATAATGCAGGGACCGCAATGGAAATAAGGTTAAATCTTCATTGTATTATTCCTGGCGTAGGTTTGCATGTCATGGTTTTGTGTCCATGTTTGATTTATGTTATGTCTCAAAACATGTGTTTTATTACCATATGTGTTTATGATAATTAAATTTTATTTTTTATAAATCTGATCTTATCTTAATGATTTAGTTAAAACAATATCTTATCATTTACTGTCAAAATACATAACAAATATTGTTACAGATATATGTTCAAAATCAAATATCTCTTGAAAGTATGTAAATGAACAGATAATTGTTTAGAATTAGGGGATAAATCATATAGCCAAATCATGGCCGCACTTTTGATTATTGTACTGATTAACCAGAAGACTTTATGCTTGTACTGTTATGACCATGTTTTGTGTTTGCTTCTTATTGCGACTGGCATCTTAAGAAAAGATAGCAACACAAATCGCAAGAAGTATCTTTAAAAGATACTTCGCCAAGATTAATCTACCAAATCTGCTTTTACATGCAAAATATCAAAAGAAACTTAAGAAGAAAATCAGTTTTCGGAACTCCTTTAGATATTTTAACCTAAAACGCATAAACCATTTCAAAAAGATCCTTTATATAATTTTATTTTTTTAGAATGACCAATGACATACCCATATTTCAGTTTGTAATTTTTAAATGACAAATGTTATTCTATTTGCATTTGTACCTCCCTGTAAATTTTACAGGAAATTAAAATTGATTTTAGACGGCATTTGGCCCAAAAGTTGAAAATTAGACTAACGTGTTTTTTTCTCCGTTGCCTGATCCAACTCTTTTATTTGTTTTTCCAAAGCCGCAAACTTGTTCGACAAGTCTAAAAGACCATCCTTGCAAGTGGCTTTTACCTCACCTGTAACTGTCTTTAAGTCATCTAAACCGGAAGTACTCTTCTCCAGATCTTTTTTGATATTTTCCACATTAAGTGCCATGCTTTTAATGCTCTCTAAAACAAGAAAATAATTTAAGAAAGAAAATAATGCAATGCATGTAATATAACATTCATACTGAGCAAAAATAAATAACTGCAAATTTTTTAAGTATAGGAAACACTTTAACCTGTGTTCTTATATAATCGATGTGCATTAAATGGAAAGCCACTGTGTTCAATATATTTCCGAACATATCATTTCATTTATGAAAAAAGAAACGTTATTTTACAATGATTTTAGTATTTACCTTACATGTATTTTGGGCTGTAAATAGCTCTTAATATTTTGTACACTGGAGAAGAATTATTGTTCGACAAAGATGCCAAACACAAGCTGTCTTATTTATATCTTTGATGTAAAATTGGTTTTCTTTTTAAGAAGCTTATTCTGATATGCATTTATCTGCGCATTGTGATAAATGAAGGAAATGAAGGGCATTTATGATTATTGAAAAATAATAATTTCCCTACATCACACCTACATATACATATTGATTTAACGTCCTAGAACTGCTCACACTGGAATAAGTAACAAGAAAGAGCATAAAACCGTACGCTCTGTGTCAATATAATATGTACAACTTACTAGATGAGTTTCTACACAACACAGGAGAGATTAGCAGATAAGTATTCAGTGAGTGCTAAGTGTAAAATTTTACACAATTATTAAAGTAAGGTTTAATAAAAACTTGCACTGAAATCTATGATCGAAATAAAACAACCTGTTCGTAACATATAAGCTAACATTCTGTAATTTGACCAATTACGAGTATTTAGCAGCAACCACCAAAACCTAGTAGCCATTCTTCCCCGCAACACTTTTCCAAGCTTATCAATTTCGCAAAACTATTTTGATTTACTGGATTTAAACGGTTATAGTAATTTCATTTTTATGATTTTTATGTTGAATTGGTCAATATTTAACATGACTTTGATTGTTATCAATACAATTATTTATGTGAAGGTGGTATTTATAACTTAGGCAAATAAAAAGATTAATTTGATTGAAAATATAGCATTGAATGTACGTTTAGGTGTTTATTTTCCAGCTGACTATTCTTCTTGACGTTTATCAGTTTTACACCAGATTCACAGTAATATTCTTATTTTATGTCACCTTTTAAAGTCTTATTTTTTATTAACTTATCAGCAACCTGTTCTGTCCGCAACCGTTTAACGGGGATTCTAATGATTCTGTACAACTTAAGAAAATATAAACATACTCATATTCTCAGAAACGACGCTTTTGTTTGCCATGGTGACGCTTAGGACACTCATTTGTCTTTCCAAATTTGTATTCATGTCTGAAAGTCCGTCCTCACACTTTTTGTTGATCTCATCTGTAATCACCTTCAAGTTATCTAAACCGGAAGTACTCTCCTCAAGGTCTTTAATGATGTTTCCTACAACTACTGTCATATTTCTCGTGCTCTCTGTGGCAATAAAAAGTGAATCGTAAATACTATGCAAGAATAAAAACAATGAAGATTTATGAATAAATTAGCTTTGATTGAGTGAAAATTAAGGAAACGATTGTTACAAGTTTTTTTTAAACTAGTTCTGAGATGTTGCCTTGACAAATATTTTATTTTCTTTACGAAAATAGGTAAAGTTTAAAGTTTGCCCTTCTATATAGGAATGATTACAAGATAATGAAATATTGGGCCTTTTCATTTGAATTAGCTTTTATTAGTCATTTTGTCAACTAAGGCCCAGTTTGTGCAGTTTGTCAAAGTAAAATTTGTAAATTCTTATTTTCTATACAAAGGGAAAACATTTTTTCAAATAAATGGTTTTTATAAATGATTATCGACAAATGAAATGTATAATATTAAATCATATTTTCAATTCGTAATAATCTCAATAATTCAAATCAGTATAATAATTAAAACATACTATAAACGTATTCACGTATTTTGGCTGCGTGTTATTTTATTATTTTCTCCCATTTAAACTACGCACGCAGTTATACATTAATGGAGGAGAATGCAATCATTAAAAGATAAAATAACGAAACCAAGCGCTGTTGCTGTACATTTTATATGTGTGAGTCAGGGCGCCATGTAATGCAGGTTAAACAGCTTCAATAACAGACCTGGACCCGTCCGTGTTCACCAAGTAAAAACCTGGATCAGGATCAAATGATCCTGGTTATATTTTCGTTGACTTCAATTGATTGTATAAGGCTAATATAACCAGTAAATGGTACATAAGAAATGTAAAAATGCTGACTTGCAAACTTACTACGATATTTTGGGATAAAACTTAGGAGTGTTAATCATGTAGATAGTCGGATCAAATTCTCAGATCAAAATCAATATTTGGATAAACTGTGAAATGTTCATATCTTCATTTATTTTGTAAATTAATATCAAATGTGATCTAAAACATAAATGCTATATCAAGTCCACTTTAATGAAGTCGATATTGAATATTAAATCTATGATTATACTTTTTAAGTTTTAATGGAAAAGGAGCATGGTAATTTCTTTATTTATATGTAACCATAACATGACATCGCACCAGCACGAAAAGATGACGAAATCTATTTGTTTAATAGAAAAAAGAAATTACGAAACGCGAAATACAGAATCAGACGCATGTTGATGCAAGAATAGCGCTAATTCACCCCTTAAATTCATGCATTAACATCTGAAGAAGCTCTAGGACTCGCAGATTCGAGCTTTAAATGCGTCCTCGTGCTTCCTCTGATGCTTAAGTACAAAAAGCGGATTTAACCATTCATTTTGATATAATCTATGTACAATTAAATGCATGGGTATTCTTTCTAGATATGACCATAGAAATATGATATCAACGTGATCATTTTTTATTTAACCCGACAGTCATAGCTTTTTCATACCACACTGCTGTATGTATACATGTATAGTTATTTGTAACTGTTTAGTTCTAGCTAATACTTCAAGGGTTGTTCGCACAGTCAAACTTGGTCCAAAACCATACAAGCCTGAAATTTGTAATTCTTTCAAAGATCAAACAAACAGGCAAACTTTGCAAATTACAATTTGAGTGAAATACATTTAAACGTGTGTTTTTGTGTCATTTTGCATAATTACAAACTGGAATTTATTAGTTTTGACATATATGGTAAGCAGATGTTCTTCAACTTTGCACACAGGTTATCGTTCAGGTCCTATAAATAAAAACTTGCGAAAAAAAAATTGCTTGTCCCATCATTTAAAAAATTTAGATGAGTCCCTTTAAATACATGTTATAATACTTAAACGAAAACTGTTTTCTTCATAAAATGTATACATACGCATGTTTTCAGAAACTATGCTTTTGTTTGCCATGGTTTCACTCAAAACGTCCGTCTGTCTTTCCAAATTGTCTATCTTGTCTTGCTGCTCCGAGAATCTGTCCGATAATTCGCTATTATTTCCCTTAATGCCAATCATTAAATCCATAACATTAGAAACACTCTTTTCTACTTCTTTTTGCATGTTTTCCACAAAAAATTCCATGCGAACCATTTTTTCTAGTAACTGTTCGTCATATGAAAACTTTGAACAAACAGGCTCCACGGGAACTGCTCTAATTAACATAAACTTACATATGAATAACACTGCAAATATGTAACATTTTGAAAACATATTTCCAAAACTTGCCATTTTGATTGCAGTGTAAAGAAAGTACACAACTTATGTTAGCGCTCTGTTAAAAAGATATGGGGTTTGTTATCCGGATGTAACTTTTATAAGAAGGCGGTCTTAGAAATCTATGGCACTCATGTGATTTGAAATTTGAATATCCTTGACATATCCTTACAATATGTTAGGTAATGGTGTTTATTTCATGCGATGGACATGTATACAAAATAAAGTAAAGATTGTGAATGTGGTGGAACAACGTTTAACTAAAAACAAAGACACATTCTGAATCTAGATTGCCAAGTATGTGCAGCATTTTCCCACGGTAACAAGATGTTGGTGATACATTTTCTTGAAATAAAACTTTAACGAAACAACTACAACAAAACTGACAAAACATGCAAAATGAAACAAATTTATGGCACCCCCACTAAAAAAGAAACGAAAGAAAAAAAAAGCAAAAAACAACAACAACATTGCCTTGTGAAATTCATGCTTATTTTCCAAGTGGTTAGAACAAATAATAACATAATCATAATTATTCTAAATGAAGTAACACATGAATATGAAACAACAATAATTTAGGGTAGGTCCTGGAGACCAAACCAATATACATATATGTCAACTATATATAAGATATAGCTGTCGAATACGGACGAAGGACATGCTACCAGTCATGCAAATGAAGGGCTAATGTTGAAGCACAAAAGTGGTGGTAATTTACCTCCATGCAATTATCACTGCCATCAGCTTTAGTCAGAATATATCCCAGCTGAGTCGTAGGTTGCTGTAGAAGCTCAACTCTCCAGCGGCAAAGGGAATAGTTTGGTCTCCAAGACCTACCCTATATGTACAACAACAACGCTTTGGTCTGAACCAGTCAACGTGCCCTCTGTGATGAATCAACCTAGATCCAAATCTTCTGCTATGTCCGAGGCATTCTCTGTGACATGCATGTACCGAGGGGAAGAGATAAGCAACCAATTTCTCCGCAAGTAATCGACTACCGCAAGTAACCGACTACTTACTCTTTCTGAATCAGCGGTGAAAGATAAATGACCAACAGACTCAGACGATTAATTGTCACGGAAATATTTCGGCTCGCCCGAGGATCGAACTAACGACCCCCGGGATTACAAATCCAAGTTCCCTTATTGAGTAAAACGGGCGGACCTAATTTGGTAGGATAGAATACATAAAAGGTCGACCTTGATATGACTGCTATTGATTTAATACTGCTATAATTCCAAAGAACAAAAGGAAACGTACACACCAGCAAACATTTAATTTTACAAGTCATATTTCATATAATCAAATTATTTTACTAACAGTAATTATCATGAATACTCGCTTTTCAAATTCAAATATGACATACTAGTACTCAAAAATTAATATTGTTTTATGTTGTTGTTGTTGTTTTTTTTTTTAGGTTCAGGTTCTGGTGCTACCTGTTTCATTGTTTTGTCTGTTTTTACTGTGATTTTAATACATTTCTAGTGTTTCTCTGGTGATTAAGGCGGTGTAAATTGACATATGATAATAATCTGAACTTACTCAAATATCCGAGAAACATATTTTACTGCGTTAATGGCACACAAATATTATAAAGCCAACAATTTCGCCGATTAATAGAGGGGACTTCAATGAAAGAAAACGAAAGCGAGTATAAGATGTTTAAATTATACTTCTGTATATCCTGTTGAAATTATTACAACCAGATGTTTAACTGAATTACAAGTTCTCGGAAATACTAAACAAGTACGTTCTATATTAATAATAATTCCAGGATTTTTTGAGATGCATAGGCCTACTGTAAATTCTCGTAAATACTCGTTCAAGAAGTCATGAAATATAACGCATGCCTTACATTTCAATTTTTTTTGTCTTGAATGAAGAAGAGGTAAAAAGAAAAAAAAAGCCAATACAATTAGAATGTTCTATGCGACTGTTGTGCAATCTATTAGGTAGTCGGAAGATTATAAATGTAGCATTTCACTTAAACAGCTTATAATTCATCTAACTACAATAGTTTACGTGTGAGCTTTTACATGAAAAAAATATATTGGCACTCAACAAAACACACATAACAAGAACAGATGTTCATGATTTTATTATTTATTGATCACTAAATGACAGGGTAAATAGAAATTTAAACAAAAATATCAGCTCGTTTCCAAGTAGTCTATGATGGTTTGTATTAATGACTATTTGAATAAAAAAGTGTTTGCTATCTATTATCCCGGTGGCCATGACATTTTTCTTCCAGCAAGCACGTGAAAATGAAGATGAAAAACATGTTGTCCACCGTCGCTCCCGTCGTTCACGACAATTCTGTAACCGTTAGTAGCACCTTGGTCCTTTGCAACCTTTGTCGCTACCCACATCATGTGTCCAAGTAACTGTAAATATAGATACTTTATACAGCAATCACATACATCAAACGGCAAATTTTGCTCTGGACATATTGACCTTACTTTTTTCGCTATAATATGGCTAGTGGCGAACTAAATATATTCACATTTCTCGTGTCATATAACACCAATTAAACAATCTTGTCAAGTAACCGCTTTCAAAATTATTACATGTACAAATAAACTATGGAAAGTGGCAAATACCATCCGAATTCAAACACGCTATTGATGTGCTTTAGTTACCTCCACTTCGTTTTCTTTCACAAATGATTAACAAAATAAAAAGCATTCCATAAGAGACGACGCCGCTCACGTGCACCGGCGTCGCCAATAAGTACGGTAGCATAAAGGATGCATGGGAAATTTATTTTATTTACTACGTGGTTGAGCGATAGCTATTACGGTACTTGCGTACACGGTGTGAAATAGGTGGCCACGCGAAAGCTACTGCGTGATCACGCGACATGTATAACGTGCTCTAGCGACAGTATTACGTGGCAACCCGATAGGTATATTGTTATCACGTAAATGTTATACATATCGCGTTGTCGGACTTTCGTCCTGTCGCTAACTATGCGCGCCAAACGGCGCGTTGTCTTGCCTCGTGTTATCGCGATGTCAAATTGTCGCTCGGCTCAAATAGAAGAATTTGCTATTTGTATATATATAAGCCAAGCGACAGGGCGACAACGCGCAGCACAACGCACCGTTTGGTGTGCTTCGCTTGCGACAGGACGACAAGACGACAGTGCGACAACGTGCAATTTGACGCGTTTCGCTAGCGACAAGACGAAAAGACGATAACGATATAGGTTGTGTTGTCGCTATCGACAACGCAACGCGCAAAGTTTTCCAGATTAGCCACCATACAAATCAGCCACCATAGTAATGCAAATAAAGTCCCTTATATTAAAATTATACCAACAGCATTTTTTTCAGTTCTGACAGCTAAAAACGGGCATTTATATCAACTCCTTAACAATGCTTGACAAGATCTTTGAAACATTTTTTCATGGTACATGTATATTACCTAGTTTATAAGTACAATACAAACATACCTCTTTCTGTGTTTCGTTTATGCTATCAATCGTCTTTATTTCTTGCTTGGATATGACGAGGAAATGTATAGGGGCTTGAGGGTGTATATCCTTCAGGGCTATACACTGAAATTATAAAACACATATAGGATCTGACGTGAGTTGTCACCTGAGATACACTGTTATCTTTTTTTTCTTAAGAAAAATGATTAAAGGCGAGCCTCTGGCGAGCTTACAAATATTTTTCCTAGCAAGGTTCATATCAAACAACAACACATATTAGACATGACTAAATGACTACATCTTTAAAAAAAAAACTTCATTTTCATGAAAACATTTTTCTTTTGGACTCGAAATATAAATTGCAATACTAATTTGATATGTATTCTTTTTACCCGCCTAAGAAATGAAAACGAGACTGAACCGGTATATGTAATTGGATCCATGAATGATTTCTATTTGCAAACGCTTGCAATTTATTGGTTACATTAAATTAGGTGTGAAATATTCAAGTCATATTTTGCATTTATTTACTTTGTTGTAAATTACGTATCTACGTCAACCACATATCAATACGCTTAAAATGATGAAATAAAATAAAACTTGGCGATAATTATTAGCTTTTTGGCATAACACGTGACAAGAGCTTGGTATATATAACAGTGACTATTTCAAATAACAAATTAGATAATAATAGTTCTTTGTACATTGGGGGTATACACGCCAATAATATGACATGTTTATTAGTTTATTTAAGTCTCATCCATTACATGTACATATAATACAAATATACATTCAATAAAACTTAAAATACATGTAAATGGTCATTCTTATAAAGAATTAAAAGAGACTATATATATGTTGTTACAAACATGTTACAAGTATCATAATATACAATCCACATTTAAAGGTTAGATCAGATTAAACCTAACACAGAAAGGTATTTTACACAGTCTTATATATAAGCAGTCCAGTAAGATCAAAGAAAATACACATCTAAGTAGTTGTTTGATTGATAATATTACTTAACTATTAGATAAGGACTTTGATTTGTTACAATACTTTAAAACAGCAAAGATGTTTGATTCTTTACACTCTAATATATCTTAAAAAACAGCTTGAATCTTAAATTCTTTTAAAAAAAAGTGATATCACTAAAAGGCCGTTTTTAGAAACAATTTTCATTGATAAAAAAGTGTTAAAACCATATATATATATATATATATATATATATATATATATATATATATATATATATATATATATATATATATATATATATATATATATATATATATATATATATATATATATATATATATATATATATATATATATATATATATATTACAAGCATTTTGCACGTTTTTCTGAAATAAGGTAGCAGGATTTTGCAACTTCTCTAACAATACTACCATTGTAAAGTATAAATTTTGCTTGGTTACATCATTTAAAATAAGAAAGCCATTATTAATATACATTGTTTTGTCGAACAAATTTTGTCTGATATCTACATATTGTGGAAATTTCAAAAGAACATGAATTTCATTTTCTATTTCTGTATTACACAATGGACAAATTCTATCATTGACTGCTAGTCTTTCAAAGCGACCAGTTTCTGGTCTAATTGGAGCGACTCCACATCGAAATTTTGCAAGTGCTGATCTACGCTTATATGGAAGTAGTGCTTTGATATAGTTCTCAGTTTCAAAATCAAATTTGAAATTGCTGTATGTTCTCAATTTATTATTTCCAGACCCAGGCGAACTGTATAACCCATGTAAA